CTTCCACCTCAGCCTTCCAAGTAGCTGGAGCTACAGGTGCGCGCTACCACACCCAGCTAATTTTTTGATTTATTGTAGAGATGAGGTCTCGCCAAGTTGCCCAGGCGGGTCACGAACCCGCGGGCTCAGGCAATCCACTCACCTCGGCCTCCCAAAGCGAGGGATTACAGGCTGAGCCAGCGGGCCTTTGCAAGATGATGACAGGGGGATAGAGCCAAGGGCTTTCAAGATCATTTTAAAAAATTTATTTATTGTAGAGATGAGGTCTCACCAAGTTGCCCAGGCTGGTCTTGAACCCCTGGGGGCTCAGGCAATCCTCTTGTCTTAGCCTCCCAAAGTGCTGGGATTACAGGCTTGATCTCTTCATTTACAGGCTACATGGCCATGTGGTCTACAGTGCTCTGCCACTGTTGCTCAAATATTACCTCCTCCCTAAAGCCATCTCCAACCAGCTGGGCAGGTGGCTGCTCTCTTGCTGGAGGTGGCATTTCTTTTCTACAAACTCTACTATACTTTACTATGGTTTCCCTACCAGGTTATGATTTCCTGAAGCCAAAGATCATGCATTATTCATCTTTGTTTCTATTTCTCTATCCCCCAAAAAGGCTGTCTGGTATGTGGCTTGCTGAATGAAAGAAAGCATTTCAACCTAGCTGGTTTAATATCTGCACACTGTAAAGGAAGGAACAGGGGCTGTTTCCATTTGCAACTGAAGAATATACACTGATCAGCAAGCCCTCAGCAATTAGTGGCAACGGAAAAATAATGCCTGGGGAGTCCCAGTGCCCAGTCTGGGACCTCACCTGTTTTAGATACTGTATCTCGAGCCAGCACTACTTGGCTTCTAATGGCTGGTGGAGAAGAAATGACCGTAAGATGGGTTAGATTAGTTCCCTTTTGAACATAAGAAAAAAATGTTTGGAAGGGAAGGAGTCAAGATCACCCCAAATGGACATGCCTAAAGCAAAGCTTCTAATATTGCCCTTTTCTAGAAAATATCTTTAGTCTACAAAACCGTTAGGAAGCTTTCTAATATCCACTAGTTTTATTTTTTAGCTTTAGGGGATCAAACAGAACAGAAAAATAATGGCTTGCATTTCCTTGTGTTTAAGTGTCTCTAAGGTTCCAATTCATATATACATGTGGTATTCACAACCAGATGAGGTATTTGTAAACCTGTGGTGACTTATTAGCATTTCATCAGTTCTGTAAATGGAAAATAATACACTGAAGACTTGGTCACGAATATGCTTCTGGTCTGGAACTATCCTTTAAACAATCTAATGTATTTGCTTCTCTCCTTGGTTCCCTCTCCTAAATAAAACTTAAGCCCAAACAACCCTCCTTCTTCTCAGTGTCTCTGTTACACGTAAGCCAGTGATACTGTCCCCTTTTTTTCTTCCTTGGCTAAAATATCTTTTGGATATCATACTATCTTTCTCTTCCAAAGTACAATTTACCATAGGAAGTTCAGAATAAAGTCAAATATATACAGAAATTTATTATATGATAAAGGCAGCATCTTTTTTTGTTTTTTTGAGTCAGAATCTCACCCTGTCACCCAGGCCGGAGGGCAGTGGCATGCTCATGGCCACTGCAGCCTTGACCTGCTGGGCTCAGGTGATCCTTCCGCCTCAGCCTTCCAAGTAGCTGGAACTACAGGCACATGCCACCATGCCCAGCTTTTTTGATTTATTGTAGAGACAGGGTCTCCAGTTGACCAGGCTGGTGTTGAACCTCTGGGCTCAGGCAATCCTCTCGCCTCTACCTCCCAAAGTGCTGGGATCACAGATGTGAGCCACCTGCCCAGCTGATAAAGATAACATCTTAAATCAGAGTTATACACATGAACTTTTAAATAACTGCTACTGGGACCCCTGGGTAGCCATTTAGAAAAAAAAGATGGAAACTTCTTTTATACCATATACCAGGAGAAAACTCAAATTATGTGTAAAATATGAAACTAAAACTATTAGAAAAGTCACACAGGTAAATTTTCTTATAACCCTGGAGTAGGGAAGGGTTTCTAACTATAACTCAAAATCTAGAAGCCACAGAAGACTGATCAATTTGATTATATAAAATAAACTTCTGAGCCGGGATCGGTGGCTCAGCCTGTAATCCCGCACTTTGGGAGGCTGAGGTGAGTGGATTGTCTGAGCCCGTGGGTTTGAGACCCGCCTGGGCAACTTGGTGAGACCTCATCTTTACAATAAATCAAAAAAAATCAGCTGGGCATGGTAGCGCATGCCTGTAGTTCCAGCTACTTGGAGGGCTGAGGTGAAAGGATCGCCAGAGCCCAGAGGTCGAGGCTGCGGTGGCCGGGAGCGGCCAGTGTACTCCAATCTGGGCGACAGAGTGAGACTCCAACTCAAAAATGAAATAAAATAAAATAAACTTCTGCATGGAAGAAAAAAACCACAAAACAGTCTAGTGATAAACTGGAGAAAATACTTGCAGCTTTTATCACAGATGAAAGGCTGCTTGCCCTAGCATTTTAAAAAAATCAAGGCTGGGTGCAATGGTTCATGCCTGTAATCCCAGCACTTTGGGAGGCTGAGGTGGGAGGATTGAGTTAGGAGTACGAGATCAGCCTGGGTAACACACACAAAAAAATCAAAAAATTAGCTGGGCATAGTGGTGTATACCTGTAGTCCAAGCTACTTGAAATGCTGAGGCAGTAGGATGGTTTGAGCCCAAGCGTTCGAAGCTATAGTGAGCCACGATTCCAGCCTGGGTAACACAAAGAGACCCCGACTCCAAAAGAAAAAAAAAGTTAAGACCAATAACCCAATAGAAAAATGGGTAAATGACATAAAGAGACATTTTATACGAAAAAAAAAATGGCCTTCAACATAAGATGTTTTCACTTTACTCCAAAGAGGACACAGATGTCATTTTAAACCTTATCAGATCAGTAGAAATCCAAGTCTGACAACATACTCTGGGAAAAGAGGCACTCATGTGTTGTTGGTAGAAGACAAAATGGTACAATTCCTATGGAGAAGAGTCTGGTAATATCCACCAAAATTACTGACTTTGACTCGGTGTTCTCCGTTCAGGAAAATATTCTATATATATAACTACACGTACAAACAGGGTCCCTCAAAATAATGTCTTCACCAACTGCCTAAGAAGTAGATTGTTTGTCTTACCCCTGAACATATAGAAACCAGTAATTTCTACTTAATTTTTCTCAGTTCCTTAGTTACTAATCTGATTTTAAGGTCCAGTAATATAAAAAGAATTCTAGATTATCATAAGCCAATTTCCAAAAGCGTAACTACTGGTCCTGTTGTTCTTCATGGAAGGAGTGCTGAAATGATGATGTCTACCAGACTTTCTCCAGTACTCCACAATTGGGAATACACCAATGACAGACAGCGGTTAAGGCACCCATGTGAGTGGGGGTATAAACTCCCTGTCATTTTCGTAAAGGCATTAAGCATCCCTCAGTGCCTGCTTGCCTCGTGACAAAAAGCAGGACTAGTATTCTGATCAGGTTGGATGTGCATGCTGGCAGGGCAAAGTCCAAAGGCCCACAATAAGCAGGTTAGTGACCATGAGAAACCTGAAGCAGTGTTCCCAGGGCACTACTTTATGTGCCAGGCATCCATTGTTCTCCCTTCTCCTAGAAATGTACAACTCTGGGAGATGGAGGCTAGAGGACTGCCCGAGCCCACGGGCTTGAGACCAGTCTGGGCAACTTGGCAAGTCCTCGTCTCTATAATAAATCAAAAAATTAGCCAGGCGTGGTGGTGCATGCCTATAATTTCAGCTGCTTGGAAGGCTGAGGTGAAGGATCGCCTGAGCCCAGCAAGTCAAGGCTGGAGTGGCTATGAGCACACCACTGCACTCCAGTCTGGGTGACAGAGTGAGACTCTAACTCAAAAAAAAGATAAGAAATGTACAACTCTAGGTCCAAGAAAAAATAGACAATTTATTTTGAGGGAAAACTCAGCAAAAGTCCAGTTTTCTGTGACCTACCCCAGCTTCTGAATTTGGAAAGGGTGGCAGGCAGGTGACTTCACGAGCCAATCCTTTTCATGTTCTGAGATACCACACAGCCTGCACTGCTCCAGGCCAGTCACTACCTAGAGACTCTGTTAGTGCAAAAATACAAAAGAGTTTGTTTTACCTTTTAGATAAGTGTGCCACCACAGGTGCTTGCGGGAGTTATTTAAATTTATGTGCAAAAAAAGAGTACATGAAATTATCCCAAGGAGCAAATCTCCAGTAAATTCTCCAAGATAAGATCTGTTTAAAGTATAAAAATAAACTTAGATGTTTCCTGGAATAAAATGGAAAACGATCGGCAAAAAAACTAGCAAACCTAAATATATACCGCATAGGTTTTAAAATTAGTTTGTCACAGTCTGGATTTAGCCAGTTTCTGAGCTACTGCATTTAATTTCCCTGTCAATTCTGAATAAAACACACGAAATGTCTGTTTAAAGGTTTGCTTTTAGGGCCCAAGAGGTGTGTGTGCGCGCGCATGTGTGTGTGTTTTCTCTCATCAAGTTCGGTACTAGCAAATGCTTAAGTGTCAAATTCCAGTTTTTCTGCATAGGGACTCCCAAATTAGAGTTTCTTATTCATTAGTCAAAACACAAAAAGCCACTAGGGAGGGATCAAATTGAGGATATCACTTCTGAAGATTTCCCTAGCTGCTTAGAAGTATCCTCACTGTTAAGCACAGCTGTCTTTCAACTCTACTTGGCAAAACAAGATACTGTCTCAGAATATGAAAATCTTTATCACCCTGCCAAGTAACAGAATGAAGGTACTAAAGTTTAAAAAAAATTAATCACTGTACTAGATTTTGGATGCCGAACCATTTCAGAAGAAATCAGTTTGACCAATAAACTCTCATGTCCTAGGGCCAGAAACTACTGGCTAGCAAACAACATGACGAAGCCACAATGAGTGCAACGATACCAAAAATTCGGTTACAAAATGTCCTGCTAATTCCCACTATTCTTTCTTAGATGGGCTTCTTCTGTAGGAAGCACTCTATGGTGAGCCATCCAAACTCTTGCCCAGTTTCTCCTTTGCCAGGTCAATAACTCCACTTATTAATGCATTACCCACAACAAAAAATTTACTATAGACTCCGTTTTGTAAAAACTTTAGGATTAAACCAAGGGTAGATCTTGCTAAAATTCTGAGGAAACACAAGAGTAGGAAACATGAACATGTTTTAAATCAAAGATCCTATGGTAGGAAGGATACTTAATATTCAGTCATAGTTAATATAATTAATACTCGATTTACCCTCTAGTTATGTCCTGCGAAAGACTAGAACCACTAAGAAAAAATCTAACATTCAGTGAGTTTGGTGGGGGTTGTTTATCAAATCTTTAACACATTCCAACATCAAAAGAGCTGCTGGTTCTCTTCTCCACATTTATGGTATATTTTGGTGCAAAGGTATAAATTACCACACCATGGTTCTCCCCCAACGTGTTTCATACCTGCATGAACACCTTTCCAATGACCACATCATCATCATCCTTAAACACTGTGCTGAAGACTACTGTGACTCTGTCCTTTTTAGACTCAACATACCTGAGGGGAACAAAACTTATGTGAATAAATATAGAATCATAATGGTGCTTTGTCAATAACCTGGTCTATAAGTTAAACAGAAGGCTAAAGTCATACCATCTCATATTTCATAAAACGAAAATGTGCAAAGTGAGCTAGATATTTATGTCCAACAAAGTGTAAAACATGCATGTCCTAAGAGAGGCAGGAAATGGAAATTACCAAAAGTACATTTTATTAACTTGTGTATACGGTATGACATGAAATCTAGAGTTAGTGATGCTTAGAACTCTACTTTTAAAAATTTTATTTCTTTATATACTATGAGACTCTAGTATGTAGATAATCTAAAAGTTGCAACAACACCGAGTCTATAGTCATCCTCTGCCTCCTGAATATCCAGGCTATATATATATATATATTTTTTTTGAGTTGGAGTCTCACTGTCACCCAGACTGGAGTGCAGTGGCCACTCCCGGCCACCGCAGCCTCGACCTGCTGGGCTCTGGCGATTCTTCCGCCTCAGCTTTCCGAGTAGCTGGAATTACAGGTGTGCGCTACCACGCCCGGCTGATTTTTGGATTTATTGTAGAGATGAGGTTTCACTGCCCAGGCGGGTCTCGAACCCGCGGGCTCAGGCAATCCACTCACCTCAGCCTCCCAAAGGCGTGGGATTACAGGCTGAGCCACCGAGCCCGGCTAGGCTATATTCTTAAAGAGGACTCAGAATAGTGATGCCTTAAAAGCAAGCACTGGATTCTCTTTCTACCTTTTATCGACATTCAATATCTGGAGACTAGGACAAGTGGCTGATTTTATCCCCTATCATCTATATCTGGCTTAAGGAATTGTATGAGAAAAACAATTTCGCACAGTAGTTTAAGTTTTGATGGAACTGTATTTCTTCCAGTAAGTGCCATCCTGGTATGACAGCCACACCCAGGCTTCAGGACCAAATTCTATACTCACATGGTCTCATCATCCCTATAATGGATAACTGCCCTGTTCTCGCCTTCCTTGCCCTCTTCTTGGAATTGGAAGTATTTTTCAAAGACAGAGGCAAAACAATTTCGCTTCAACATGCCAGCTTGATGTACAATGGAATCCTTAGATGCAGGCAGATTTTCAAGGTCGTATAGCAAAGAGACATTGTATCCTGGAAGGGGAGAAAAAACATCCGGCAGTTATTAAAAAAAAAAAAAAAAAAAAAAAAAAGCTTACTGATCTCTTCCAAGTAAACAAGGACCAGGCAATTTTTAAAGAACTTCACGTTCTAATGACATTTTATGCTGTCTCAGTGTCTGTACTTTTAACTCAGGCAGAATTTGTCCATTTTCATCTATCTTATAAGGCAAAAAATGAGGTAAAACAAATATCAACTTAAATATATACTCCCCCAATAGCTTTTATTTGTATACACTGTAAAATTTTCAGTGTTTTTTCCCTAGCATTTTACTTCTTTTGACCTCTATTACAATTCTTTGAAGTATGTAGGCCAGATAAGGTTATTCTCATTTTACAGAGGGAAACAGAGGTTCAAAGCAGCCAAGTGACTTGCTGAATGCACCATGATGTATGTAGGTGTAGGCCACTCTTGTGAGTTGAACAGAACTGGGTCTTTATCACTTTGTGATATAGAAAAATTGCCTAATCGACTGGATGCAATAGCTCAAACCTGTAATCCCAGCACTTTGGGAGGCCAAGATCGTGCCACTGCACTCCAGCATGGGTGACAAAGTGAGACTCTAAATAAAAAAAAAAAAAACAAAAAAAGGAAAAAGAAAAAGAAAAAAAACTGCCTAACCACAACAATTTACTCATTTGAAAAGGGAGTGAGGAGATGGTGTAGGCGTGTGTGTGTGTGTGTGTGTGTGTGTGCAGACTGCTGCCAGCATTTAAAGAATGTACAGTATTTAAAGTGCATGGAACATGGTGGGTCATCAGTACAGGGGAAGAACAAGGACTGGAATCTAAGTCTGCTGACCATGGTACCATGCTGCCTCTTTACAGCATGTCTACTATGAATTCCCGAAACAGGGCTGGACTCCTTGATTATAGGATCACTTTTTAAAGTGCCAAGAACCCTTTAAATGTTTTTGCAAGAATATTTGTATGTCACTGAGAATCACGTCATATTCTAGGCAATTAACGGGAATAACTCTACCAGAACTATAAGGATTTTACACTAATATCTCAAACCTTTATACTGCATTACTATTTTATTTTTTTCTCAGGAGCATTCCCAAGGTCTGTGATTTTTGTTGACCTATGTTCTTTGAAAGCACGGGATGTCTAAATCTTTGTTCTAGATAATGCTTAGCACATTTTTGACACTCTGGTATTAAGTAATATTAATCATCATTCCATTTTGGTACCTGAAAACCAGATAAGTGCAAAGCCTACAAGAAGGTTAGATTAAAAAAGAAATTGAAGCCGGGCTTGGTGGCTCAGCCTGTAATCCCAGCACTTTGGGAGGCTGAGGTGAGTGGATTGCCTGAGCCCGTGGGTTCGAGACCCACCTGGGCAACTTGGCAAGACCTCATCTCTACAATAAATCAAAAATTAGCCGGGCGTGGTAGCATGCACCTATAGTTCCAGCTACTTGGAAGGCAGAGGAAGGAGGATCGCCGGAGCCCAGCAGGTTGAGGCTGCAGCCGGGAGTGGCCACTGCACTCCAGTCTGGGCGACTGAGTGAGACTCCAACTCAAAAAAAAAAAGAAAATGAGCCAGGCTCGGTGGCTCAGCCTGTAATTCCGTGCCTTTGGGAGGCTGAGGTGAATGGATTTCCTGAGCCCATGGGTTCGAGACCCACCTAGGCAGTGAGATCTCATTTTTACAATAAATCAAAAAATCAGCCGGGCGTAGTAGCGCAGGTCTGTAATTCCGGCTACTCGGAAGGCTGAGGCGGAAGGATCGCCGGGGGCCCAGCAGGTCGAGGCTGCGGTGGCCAGGAGCGGCCACTGCACTCCAGTCTGGGCGACCGAGTGAGACTCCAACTCAAAAAAAAAAAAAAAAAGAAAATGTTTGGAGTTGAGGTTTGCTAGTATTACGAAACCAAATAAAACAAATTAAATCAAACTACAGTTAAGCTAAAATCAGCGAGGCTTCTAATATGATGAATAGAACACACTGAAGATGAAGAGAAGGAAAAATCCAGTATGGCCTGCTGAGTTTTCCACACTTGCCTAGATAAACCCCTAAAAAGACGAGAGACGCCATTTTCACATACTTATACTTTGCACTTGTACGAACAGGTATTATAAAGTGGTCAATGTCTGTGCTTTAGCAGGAGGTGGAAGAGAAGGCCCGGGGGAGAAATATAAACTCTCCATAGAGTTATAGCTGCAACAAGCATAACCAAGACTTCTGACGAGACTTTTCTATTCTACATGTTTTTTTCTTTACTTCACTTTAATTCCTTTTTAAAGCCTACAGTGTTATTTATTATGGTTTTTATTTCTGTGGTACTTGTGTTTTAACCAATTTGATTACCATAATTTAGTTTTTATGAGCAGCATCAAAGTTCTTATCCACAAATACTCTCAGTAAAAAGTTACATTCCAAAGACACCTTTCTTTACTGGATACTTTGTTTCCAGAAGAAGAAATACAGAAAGGAGGAAGGTATCCTAATAGGGATAGTGACATGTAAAAATGCAAAAAGGTGAGGTGAGGAAATAAGTTTGCAAAAGTAACTCCTGTTAAGAGAGTAAGAAACAGAGAGGGCCTCTTTTTTTTTTCTAAGTTAGAGTCTCACTCTGTCACCCAAACTGGAGTGCAGTGGCCGCTCCCAGCCACCGCAGCCTCGACCTGCTGGGCTCTGGCGAATCCTTCCGCCTCAGGCTTCCAAGTAGCTGGAACTACAGGCGCGCGCTACCATGCCTGGCTAATTTTTGATTTATTGTAGAGATGAGGTCTCGCCAAGTTGCCCAGGTGGGTCTCGGACCCGTGGGCTCAGGCAATCCACTCACCTCAGCCTCCCAAAGGCCTGGGATTACAGGCTGAGCCACCGAGCCTGGTTTCCTCTTTCTTAGAATAGCTTGCAAATCAAGCTTCCAAAGTAACAATATTTGAGTAACAAATATTATATTCAAATGGTCTTACTTGGTTCTCAAATAAGGACCAGCTAAATGCCTCAGAATTTCAGATATACCACTGAATCACAGGTTGAAAATAAAATGCTGTTCAGTTTTTCCACTTTAAACCCCCTTTTCAAGCAGTATGGCAGAAATGTTTCGCTCAAGGATGGGATGATACCTTTCAATTCCTCTGGCCATGAAGACAGAAATCACCTATTAGAAGACTGGATTAGCTGGGCTCGGTGGCTCAGCCTATAATCCCAGCAATTTGGGAGGCTGAGGTGAGTGGATTGCCTGAGCCCGCGGGTTCGAGACCCGCCTGGGCAACTTGACGAGACCTCATCTCTACAATAAATAATTAGCCGGGCGTGGTAGCGCACGCCTGTAGTTCCAGCTACTTGGAAGGCTGAGGCGGAAGGATCGCTGGAGCCCAGCAGGTCGAGGCTGCGGTGGCTGGAAGTGGTCACTGCACTCCAGTCTGGGTGACAGAGTGAGACTCCAACTCAAAAAAAGAAAAAGAAGACTGGATTAAAGAGGTGGCTAACGTATTTGTTACTTGAAAAGATGAGAATAGTGTTGTGAATGTTCCTTTTCCTTCTTTAACTATGCTGAGTGCAGAAAAAGGTGTTACCAGGAGCAGAAGATGGGAACCAATGTTTGCTCAGTCTTCTCAAAAGCATTCTAGTCACTAGGAGCAAACAAAAGTGGCTCTCTGGCTCAAAGACTAAGGAAGATTCACTCAACCCCATCAAGTAAATGTTGGAAATGCCTCACACATCAATTCTGTACACCCCACTGTGTACCACAATGGACAGAGCAAAGCTGCTCAAAAGCTAATTTTATAAAGGGAGTTCAATTGGGAATTGGGCTCATGCAAAAATATTTGTATAATGAATATTTAAATAAAATCCTTTGGCTCTAAAAGGCATCATACCAACAGGGCATGTCTCTTCCCATATCCCTCCATGGTTGCTCACATTGACTACATACCTGATTCTGGATTTACCAAGAAGCTCCCATACACCCTCTTTAATAACTAGAAAAAACAAAACACAACAAATACATTAATCCAAAGGCCACGATAATTTTATTTATTTATTTTTTTAAAAAGCACTGTACCTGCCAAGAACCCCTGGACTTAGGCAATCCTCTTGCCTCCACCTCCCAAAGTGCCAGGATTACAGGCATGAGCCACCACACCTGGCTGGATCTGTCTTTCAACCAAAGTTCATCCTTTACTGGTTTAGGACTTGATCACTCCCTTTACGTGCTCTCTGTTTTCCTCCAGATCCTACAATGTATTTAACCACCTTTTCTTTTTTTCTTTTAAGTAGGAGTCTCACTTTGTCACCTAGGCTGGAGTGTAGTGGCATGCTGCTCACAGCCACCACAGCCTTGACCTGCTGGGCTCAGATGATCCTTCTGCCTCAGTCTTCCAAGTGGCTGGAACTAAAGGCATACGCCACCATGCCCAGCTAATTTTTTTTACTGTAGAGATGAAGTCTTGCCAAATTGCCCAGGCTGGTCTCGAACACATGGGCTCAAGGAACCCTCTCACCTCGGCCTCCCAAAGTACCGGGATTATAGGTGTGAGACACTGTGCCTGGCCCACCTTTTATTTTAAAGCAAGTAGAACAATGTCAAATGCAAGTGAGAGACTAGAGTATGGTAGTTATCAATTAAGCACAGGGCAAGCCGCTAGCCCAGGTGAACAAAGATAAAAGTGGGGTAGTTGGGAACAGATTTCTGCTGGTCTGCTAATCTTGTATGCTTTAAAATGACTTTGTGCGTAACCAGCTTTTAAGGCAAAAGATAACGAATAATGACATCTTAGCCAGCTATTAATACTGTTGGGTCCACAGAAGGTTGTACAGTCTACATGTCTTTTTCTAAAAACCAATACTTACTGCTGGCTACTTTCTAGCTTCTTGGGAAAAAAAAAAAGAGCCCCTTTTACACCTTTCTGCTATGGTTTGAATGCTGCCTCCAAAATTAACCTTGAAACTCAAGTACCACTGTGCTGGTGAGAGGCTACAAGGGCTCTGCCTCAGGCCATTATAGCGGAAGATGGTTTGTTATCATCGGATGGTTGTTAAATGTGTCTGGCCCTCTGTTGTTGTTCTGCCTCCCGCCAGGGGATGACACAGCATCAAGGCACCTGCCAGACGCTGGCATCGTGCTCTTGGACTTTCCAGCCTCCAGAACTGAGTCAAACAAGCTTTTCTTTATAAATCACAGTCTATTCTGTTTTAGCAACACAAAAACACCCTCCTAGTTTTTTTACTGCCATTGTGACTACTTCACCTGTTGGAAACTGCTTCTAGACTGACAGGATTTAGGAAACTAACTGTCTATTTTGTTTTGTGTTTTTTTTTTTTTTTTTTTTTGAGTTGGAGTCTCACTCTGTCGCCCAGACTGGAGTGCAGTGGCCGCTCCCGGCCACCGCAGCCTCGACCTGCTGGGCTCTGGTGATCCTTCCGCCTCAGCCTTCCAAGTAGCCAGAATTACAGGCATGCGCTACCACACCCGGCTGATTTTTTAAAATTTATTGTAGAGATGAGGTCTCACTGCCCAGGCAGGTCTTGAACCCGCGCGCTCAGGCAATCCACTCACCTTAGCCTCCCAAAGGCGCGGGATTACAGGCTGAGCCACTGAGCCCAGCATAACTTTCTATTTTGAAGGAACAGTTCTTACTTAAATGTTATATGAGACAGAAAGAGTAGAAAGGGAGTTATTTTGGAAAGTAAATATATATATATATATATATATATATATATTTTTTTTTTTTTTTTTTTTTTAACGTTTTTGTTTTGTTTTGAGTTGGAGTCTCACTCAGTCGCCCAGACTGGAGTGCAGTAGCCCAGACTGGAGTGCGGTAGCCGCTCCTGGCCACCGCAGCCTCGACCTGCTGGACTCCAGCGATCCTTCCACCTCAGCCTTCCAAATAGCCGGAACTTCAGGTGCATGCTACCACATCTGGCTAATTTTTTTTTTTTAATTTATTGTAGAGGTGAGGTCTCGCCAAGTTGCCCAGGCAGGTCTTGAACCTGCGGGCTCAGGCAATTCACTCACTTTGGCCTCCCAAAGCACAGGATTACAGGCTGAGCCACCGAGTCTGGCCATATATATATATTTTTTAGTTGGAGTCTCACTCTGTTGCCCAGGCTGGAGGGCAGTGACATGCTCTTGGCCACCGCAGCCTCGACCTACTGGGCTTAGGCGATCCTTCAGCCTCAGCTTTCCAAGTAGCTAGAACTAGAGGCATGTGCCACCATGCCCAGATAATTTTCTGATTTATTGTAGAGATGAGGTCTTGCCAAGTTGCCCAGGTTGGTCTCAAACGCGTAGGCTCAGGTAGTCCTCTCACCTCAGCCTCCCAAAGTGTTGGGATTATAGGCATGAGCCACTGTGCCCGGCCAGAGAAAGTAAATATTAAAGTCACTAAGAAGCATATACATTTTTGGCACATAGTAGTCTTTGTATGTTTAAGAGGCAAAAGAGAGACATGGGTTATTACTAACCTTCATTAAAAACTTATAATTAGCTGGGTGTAGTGATTCACGCCTATAATCCCAGCACTTTGGGAGGCTGAGGTGAGAGGACTGTCCCAGCTCAGGGTTAAATTTGACAGCTTGGTGAGACCTCGTCTCTATAATAAACCAAAAAATTAGCCGGGCGTGGTGGTGTTCGCCTGTAGTTCCAGATACTTGGAAGGCTGAGGCAGAAGGATCGCCTGAGCCCACCAGGTCAAGACTGTGGTGGCCAAAAGCACACTGTTGCACTCAAGTATGGGTGACAGAGAGAGACTCTGACTCAAAAAAACAAAACCAAACAAAAGTTATAACTAGGAAGTGGACCTCTAAGTATGAATCAATAGTTACATTTGTTTAAACAAAGGCAAAAAAGATATGTAATGTCACATATAGTTCCTATTTGGTGAACATATAGCCACTCCTTTTTTTTTTTTTTGAGTAGGAGTCTCACTCTGTTGAGGTATCTCTTTTACAGAAGAGGAACTGAACGGAGGGGTTCAAGGTCACAAGAGTTTTTGGGAGCACTGAGACAGCTTTGACCTTCAGGTGTACCACATACCACTTCTCCTAAAGAATTTGAGGGAAAAAAAGTAACATGCCTATCCCACAAGAATTTCAATTAGTATGCTACCTCTGAGCTACAAGTCTGTTACAGGTACTACTGTTACTTGGAGGAAGGGGAAATCAGATGTGGAGAAACCCCAGCCCCTAAGATTTAGTTGAATTCAAGCTTACTAAATTAATATTCTTAGATCCAAGGTACGGAGAGCCAAACTTATACCATGTTGAACTCCTTTGCTCCCTTCCCTTGGCAAAACTAGCCCACATTTCCCTGTTATTTCACTTGTACTTTTAATCATGATTCACTTTCAATTTGTGCCCCCTCTCCCAATCTAACACCAGGAGCTGGGTGAAGGCAACCTATCACCACCATTCAGACCTTCCCACTTTAGCAGCAGAGGCTTCTACCTTTAAAAAGGGCATGTGACAAAGTAACAAGCTTCCTATGGTTATCACAGGTTGGTCACTGTTTAACCAACCCAGGGAGCTATTTACTGTGCACTCTGCTCCAATACTGAATGTTACTTACTCCACCCACTCGTGTGGGTGGGGTTGGTTCTTTGACCCTTATAGTAGCTACAAGAATAGCAATGTGTTTTGGAATTTCACTGTAAGAAAAACACAGAATGGAAAGAGATTTAAGAAATCTAGCTTAACATTTCTTTTCCTTTCCAGGATTATTATTATTGTACCTAGAACTCTCTCTCTCTCTCTCTTTTTTTTTTGAGACAGGGCCTTGCTATGTTGCCCAAGCTGGACTTGAACTTCCATGTTCAAACAACCCTCCTACCTTAGCCTCTCCAAAGCTGGGACTACAGGTGGCACCCACCCAGCTTGCACTTAGAGGAGACTGTCTAGGGAAAAAATGATTACACAATTTAAAAAACTATCTGTTCAAATGTTCTAACATTTCTTTTCAGGTAGTTATCCTATAGCTAATCTAGAGGGTTGCCTTAACAGTCACTTGTTTCCTCTTGCTCTTTATCTGGTGAAGAGAAGAGCTAGCCACTATCTTTACATAATAATCCTTCATAAACTTTATAAGAAGAATAGGTCTTCGCCTTTGAAACTTTTTTTTTCCTAGTAAAATAACCCAAATCCAAATTGTCTAAATGTTTCTTCTTTCCTTAAACTTATGGGGCAAATCAATTGCATTTGAATAACTAAGTGAAGCAACTTATGGCTCTTGGTATTCTGTTTAGTGAAAACCAATTTTAGTTTTTATACCAAAAAATTATATTTTGATCATAGTCTTCATCACATTCTTTTACAAACAACCTTTCATTACATCAATTTCAAACAATTCAAAAGCTACTACTCTTTTCAGAAAGAAAACAGAAATGGCTATATCTTCATTCAACAGATTAAGGAGAACCTAGTCTATTTATTAAAACTAAGATATTTGAAAACTGATTCAGGAACTGAGTCATGCTTCCTGCTTTGAGACCCAACCACAATGTGCACACAGTGGCGTAATAGCATTTTCTTTCTTCCATAAATGGTTCTCCTCAGAGCAAATACAGTTCAACAGGAACCAAACGTGCTCCTTTAGCTATCAAAAGAAGCCAGTGAACAAGGCATGGTTATCAAGAGTTTAATAATGTCGGGACCTCCCTTATTTCCCCTAAGGTAGTTATAAGAAAGAGGTATTTAAAGAGGCCAGCTATAAGAACATTACATTTAAAAGACAGGATGGGGCTCGGTGGTTCAGCCTGTAACCCCAGCACTTAGGGAGGCCGAGGAGGACTGCCTGAGCCTGCAGGTTCGAGATCAGTCCAGGAACTTGGTGAGATCGTATCTCTACAATAAATAAAAAATTAGCACGTCTGTGGTTCTGGCCACTTGGAAGGCTGAGGAAGAAGGATCACTGGAGCCCAGCAAGTCGACAATGGGGTGGCTGTGAGCATGTCACTGCACTTCAGCCTAGGCAATGGAGTGAGATTCTAATTAAAAAAATTAAAAAATCCAAGACCAGGAGGTTGAGGCTGCAATGAGCCAGGATCGTGCCACTGTACTCCAGTTTGGAAGACATCAATTTAAAAAAAAAAGACAGTTATTTGTGCCTACATAACCAGAATGAGAAACAAAACGAAGATGATTAAATTTAAACAAGTCAGAAGTTATATATCTGGTTTGATAATTGTTTCAAAAATAGAACAGAACCTGTCTTATTCTTGCAGCAGCTACTTTTGTAGTGGTCAAGGAAAAGTATTCTTTGCTATATTTTTGGAGAACTAAAGCTGTTTTTGTTTCCACTGTTTTTTTTATAAAATACTGGAAGCATGTATAATTTGGAAACAAGGTATATCCCTTTAAGATTCTGATAAAGTTATTAAGCTTTGGTTAGAGAACATCTTTATTTCCCTAAGATAAAAAACAAGTAAGCAAAGAGCCAAAACCTTTGCTGGGAAACATACTTCTTTACATCATTATGGGAATTGCATCACCCCTAGTTAGGTGAGCCAGCTGTCCAGAGTGGCCTGTGCCAGTGGGGGTGATTTAGTGCCATGGATCGTCCATGGCAAGCTGCCAATGAAAAGTGAGGAGGAAACAAGAGTCCCAAGAAAAATGATATGAAACTTACCTCATCAGCACCATGTGCCTGAAGTTCCTTGTAGAATTTCAAAGAAATACTGACCATCACTTTTGTTTTATCTCCATTAGGATTTGAAATATGATAGAGGACACCATCAAAATCTGTGAGGAAAGCAAGTAAGACTGCTTAACTTGGGAATGGGAATAATATCTCAAAGCACCTATCTACCTTGCTGCAGGCCACGAGAAGACCCCCTGTAAGAAGTCATATAAGTAAAGTGACATTTATTTAAAATTCATTTGGGTCGGGCGCAGTGACTCATGCCTGTAATCCCAGCACTTTAGGAGGCAAGAGGACTGCGTGCTCTCAGGGGTTCGAGATCAGCCTAAGCAACACGGTGAGACCTTGTCTCTACAATAAATCCAAAAATTAGCCAGGTATGCTTGTGGTTCCAGCTACTTCGAAGGCTGAGGCGGAAGGACCATCTGAACCCAGCAGGTTGAGGTTGCGGTGGCCATGAGTGTGCCGCTGCACACCAGCCTGGGTGACAGAGTGAGACTCCGACTCAAAAAAATAAAATAAAGTAAAATAAAATAATCAATTTGGGCAGTCAATAGAAACACTGGGATGGAACTGCTGAGTACCCATCTCTTTTCTCTTTCTTAAAACTACAAAGCCATTCTTACTTGAATCACAACTTGATGCTAAAAGGGATTCTTACAACAACTTTCATTGGGATGCACTTTACACATGTATATGAACAGAAAAAAACAGTGTAACAAACTCCCATCCCCATCACTATCAATATATGGCTAATTCTTGTTTCATTTAGACACTCCTTCCAATGACTTATTTTGAAGCAAATCCCAGATATCACACCATTTCATCCATAAATACTTCAGAACGTATCTCTGAAACATGTTTTTTAGACAGGGTATCACCAGGTACTCAGGCTGGAGTATAGTGCTGTGTTCATAGCTTACAGCAGTCTTGAATTCCTGGGCTCAAGTGATCTTCCCACCTCAGCCTACCTGGTTAATTATATGCATTTTTTTTGTAGAGACAAGGTCTTGAAATGGTGTGATATCTGGGATTTGCTTCAAAATAAGTCATTGGAACGAGTGTCTAAATGCCCAGGTTGGTCTTGATAAACTCCTAACCTCAAGTGATCCTGTTGCCTCAGCCTCCCAAAGTATTGGAATTATAGGCATGAACCAATGTGCCTGGCCAAGAAGACTGTTTTTTTAAAAAAGTAACTATACACTACTGTCATGCCTAAATTTTAAAAAATAATTTCTTAGTATCAATATCTAGTCAAGTATTCAACTATTCTCTATTGCCTCAAAACACTTTATTTTTATGTCCCCCTGCCTCCCCAAAACATTTAAAAATGCTTTTCTTATATAAATTGGGATCCAAACAAGATCCATATATTCCATTTGGTTACCTTTTAAGTCTCTTCTAATCTAAAGGCCTCTCCTCTTTGGGGTTCTATCTTCTTGCAGTACACACAGGACTGACTCAGCCTGTGTAATGCCTGAAACCAGGTGCTGAGTGCCATCACTTTGGGGAGCTGGCATGAGAATCAGAGGGAGATTTGCTAGCCACTGCTAGTCAGCAGAAGAAAGGCATGGTGCCCACCTCCAAGTCACAGCACTTCAAAGCTGCAAGTCTTAAAATTTTGTCAACTTGTCACCCTTTAGAAAGGGTGGAGTATAATTCTCTAAGTTCACATGGCAAGTGAGTAGGACCAACATCTAATTCTTTATAGGGAATAGAAAGCAGCAACATCTCTCTGACTTGATGAACGGGTCTCTAGCATGTTTACCTTTCCCGACTAATGTACGGAAACTAAAATAGATGGCTGCTTGAAGATAATATAAGCAGTACTTAATTTTTTTTTGAGTTGGAGTCTCACTCTGCTGCCCAGACTGGAGTGCAGTGGCCACTCCCGGCCACCGCAGCCTCCACCTGCTGGGCTCCGGCGATCCTTCCCCCTCAGCCTTCCAAGTAGCTGGAACTACAGGCGTGCGCTACCACTCCCGGCTAATTTTTGATTTGTTGTAGAGATGAGGTCTCGCCAAGTTGCCCAGGCGGGTCTCGAACTTGCGGGCTCAGGCAATCCACTCACCTCGGCCTCCCAAAGTGCTGAGTTAACAGGCTGAGCCACCGAGCCCAGCCATCAGTACTTAATTAAAAAAAAAAAAAAAAAAAGTTTTAGTTTGTACCACAAAACTAAACCCAAACTTCTAAGATATCAGCAGGTAACTTAGCCATCAACGGATTAAGTACATGAAATGGCTATCTATGATTAAAAAATCTCAAAAAGACTTGACAAGGAACAGTACCCAAAATGCCAAAAGTTATTTAGGAACAATTTCATTTTCTATTTTTCATACTGTGCCTTCTCTTAATGGGGTTGAGATAAAGACACTTACCTGCAAATGTTACTTCTACTGCTTCTGGTTTGTTTCTGCAAAACAAAACAAAAAAGGGTCCTTAGTCAACAGTATTGCTGCTTGCCTTAAAGGAACATTAGAAAGGCTCCTAAGCTTTACTTAAGATCAGACCTTTCCAGGCACAGTGGTTCACACCTAGAGTCCCAGCGCTTTGGGAAGCCAAGGTGAGGGGACTGCCTGAGTCCACGGGTTGGAGACCAGCCTGGGCAACTTGGTGAGACCTCATCTCTATAATAAATCAAGAAAAATTAGCAGGCCATGGTGGCACATGCCTATAGTTCCAGCTACTTGGAAGGCTGAGGCAGAAGGATCACCTGAGCCTGGCAGTTCAAGGCTGCGGTGGCCATGAGCGTGTCACTGCCCTCTAGTCTGGGCGAGAGTGAGATTTGACTCAGGCCAGGCACGGTGACTCACGCCTATAATCCCAGCACTTTGGGAGGCTGAGGTGAAAGGACTGCCTGAGCCCATGGGTTCAAGACCGGCCTGGGCAACTTGGCAAGATCTTATCTCTACAATAAATCAAGAAAAATTAGCCAGGCATGGTGGTGCACACCTGTAGTTTCAGCTACTTGGAAGGAAGGCTGAGGCAGGAGGACTGCCTGAGCCCAGCAGGTCGAGGCTGCAGTGGCCCTGAGTGTGCCATTGGATTTCAGTCTGGGCAACAGAGTGAGACTGTGACTCAAAAAAAAAAAAAAGGATCAGACCACTCTGTATAAATCTTAAGTTTTGCTGATGAGAATACACGATTCATTTTCTCATGCACCTGAACCTCTGGACTTACTTAAAGTAGGAGATAAAAAAGGAAAGGCAGTGATAGCTTTTGTTTTTCACCTGCTGTTGAATCTCTTGCCATGGTTGGTGCTCACTTTCAATTCAGAATGCCCTAAGAACATGACATATACCTGTGTGTACATATATGCCACAAAACACCACCTCTGGTCAATGCTTCTCCAACCCGGCAGTGGTATTAGGAGCAATACATTCAGCTGAATGGGTAAGTATAACACAGAACAGTTTTAATTTGCTTAAAGGGAAGGGTGATTTCAGGCCATAAAACAAAACAATACGCTCTAGTCCACTTTTTTCTTTTGAGTTGGCATCTCACTTTGTTGTGCAGGCTGGAGTGCAGCGGCACACTCACGGCCACCCTGACATCGACTGACTGGGCTCAGGTGATCCTTCTGCCTCAACCTTCCAAGTAGCTGGAACTACAGGCCCGTGCTACCACGCCCAGCTAATTTTTTGATTTACTGTAGAGATGAGGTCTCGCCAAGTTGCCCAGGCTGGTCTCAAACCTGTGGGCTCAGATAATCCTCTCACCTCAGCCTCCCATTTAGCCTATTTTAAAAAAACCATCTGTAAGTCTTCTTACTCATCTTTCTTCTTTACATCACCAAGGCACTGACCACTCTTTTTCACGAAGCCCTCTTTGTTCTATCTGAGTTTTGTCTTGCTTTTAAATTCCAACTCCGTACTTACACAGAGAATATAGTACAAAATAACAGTGAGATCACTGAGGAGAACAGTTAGGACACCCATTTTGCAACTTTAGCTTTCTGATGAGGCTCATGTTTTAGGACAAACACACTTACATTTTTGTGTTTTCATCTACCATCAATAAAACGGGAGAATACAAATGATCCTACTCACCTCATGGATCTAGTACAGATAAAACAAGATAACAGACCTGAAAAAACATATACCAGAAGGCAATGACCACCTACTGCTTTTTGTGAGATTTCCAGCTTAGCCTGGTACATGAACTTCTATTTGATATATGCTGCTGAGTTATTACCCAGAAGAAAGCATGACCTGCATCCTACCTATAAACAATAATGGCCAATTAACCCTCAGTGAAAAATTACTTCATGTCTTTCCCCCTTTTCTTCAAAGCCAAAGGTAAGAAACAAATGAAGACTCTACTGCTTTATCTGCTAGCTACCTATATCTCAACGATTCCACTTTGTTTTACGGGCTAGCAGACAGGATATACACATTTTCGCGTTTATTTTTGCCTAACTTGCTCAAGACCTCTCAATCAAGTACATAACTTCTATACTATCGCTGCTCCCACACCTGTGAAAGGAACCAAGACCAAGTTGCCATTCAGGGTTGCTGGGAAATAAAGGAATATATAACATGGCTTATGACTATTAAAAAGCTGATGCAGAGGCCAAACGATACCTTTCCAGGAAACTGACTTCTGTTTAACATATGTCAGTCCTGTTGAAAATCAACCTATGTGAAGCACATCAAATTCTACCCTGCTTCTTCAAAGTCATTCATATCTGATTTAGGAAAAGCATGTTGAGTGTCTCTAAGAATGGAAGCATCAAGTGGGTTGACGGAGAAGCAGTGAGTTCAGAATAAGAGAAAAAAACTAGATGAAAATTCAAATTGCTCTGAGTACTCATTTTGAAACTGCCAGCAAACAAAGGCAATTAACAGCCAAAAACCATTTCTCACCTCTTAAAAACAAGAGCAAAGAACAATGAAATGGAACCATTAATTGTGGCCCATCTGAATGAAAAGTTATGAAGATACCCGATGGGAGGAAGCACTAAAGCATTTTCCTGGGGAAGGTCAGCTACGCCAAAGAGTCTCAGAGTTTATAAAAGTCCATATTCCATCATTTAGTAGGTGGTGGTTTTTTTTTTTAAACCTTCAGGCTTTAACTCAGCCAGGGAAGGGTTGAGTTCTTCACTCTCCCACTTCATGGACAGACTTGAGAAAAATAAACTACAAATAAATAACCTTACGAGTCCAAGCCATAAACACCCTATTCCCTAAATTTTTGAATTTCCCTAGGCATAAAGTACCCTCAGCACAGATCCCCAGTGGGAGGAGTTTTTAAGATTGATCATAAGTGGTCTGCCGTTTGACTTGGGAATATTTGTCAAATCATTGCCATTAATATTTTAGTTTACTATTTATGGCTACACTGCCAGAAAGGTTGCAGAGGAGACAGAAATACTGCTGAGGAGAGCACTAGGCCAAAGGAGACTACATGAGAAGTCGTCTGGTAGTTAGAGGTCCGAGAACTCAGTTGCCCCAACAAGGAGGTCACTGAGCATGAAGAGTACTACAACAGGATTCCTCACAATTCCAGACTAGGTGTCTGTTACTTTTGTGGCTTACTTATGGAGACAAAGACTGGCTTGGTCAGGAAAGAGCATCATTGAATAGGCCAAAAAGATAAATGGTTACGTTATTTACTGTTCTACCATCTGCTAAAGTTTCAGATGCTGGGGGTAAGATTAACTACAGAAGAAGCAAGTTTGGAATTGCTACTTAATGGCTATGTGACCACAGGCAATGTTCCTCAAATGTCACTGAGTCTCAGGTTCCGATGCTGCTGCTTTTTTTTGAGTCAGTGTCTCACTCTGCTGCCCAGGCTGGAATGCAGTGACACACTCATGGCCACTGCAGCCTCAACCTGCTGGGCTCAGGCAATCCTTCCGCCTCAGCTTTACTAGTAGTTGGAATTACAGGTGTACATCCAGCTAATTTTTTGATATATTATAGAGATGAGGTCTCGCCAAATTTCCCAGGCTGGTCTCCAACCTTGGGCTCAGGCAATTCTCTCACCTCCACCTCCCAAAGTGCTGGGATTACAGGCGTAAGACACTGCGCCAGGCCTGGTTCCTCTTCTATAAAACACAAATAAAACACCTTACCTCACAAGGTTGTTGTGAAGACCAACTGAGATTATATATCAGGGTGCCAAATATACATATATATACACACACACACACATATATACATACATACACATTTTAAGAGATGTTATTTATGATGTATTACTTTTCTTTTCTTTTCTTTTTTTGAGTTGGAGTCTCACACTGTCGTCCAGACTGGAGTGCAGTGGCACGCTCCCAGCCACTGCAGCCTCGACCTGATGGGCTCCGGCGATCCTTCCACCTCAGCCTTCCAAGTAGCTGGAACTACAGGCGCACGCTACCACACCCGGCTAGTTTTTTTATTTACTGTAGAGATGAGGTCTCACCAAGTTGCCCAGGTGGGCCTCGAACTCACGGGCTCAGGCAATTCACTCACCTCAGCCTCCCAAGGTGCGGGATTACAGGCTGAGCCACCGAGCCCGGCGTATTACTTTTCAAAGTTTAACTGTCTTACAGTAGCAATGTGCAGTATGATGTTTGCTCAAAAGATGGCATTAATCAAATGAATGCTACTGTCAACCAAGTGACAGACGGGACAGTCAAAGAAAATGGCAGAAGCAGAGTTGTTCAAGGAGCAGAAGACCATTTTGAAGTAGTATTTGAAATTTGAGAATGTTGTGGAAGTACAACAATGAAGGCATGAGTAAGTAACAGACCTTCCAACATACCTAACAACTGCACACATTTGTGGTAAGTCTGAGACAAAGGGTACTGTGTGCGATGTGCACAAGGGAAATCTGGGAGGCCGTGCACTGCAACAAGTCCTGCAGTAGTTGACTAATCAGAAGTGTCTGGATGCTGATAGTAACCACTTTGCACACCTCTTGTAATTGCAGAAGTCAAGTGTGACTTGTATTCATCTTTTGTTATTGGTATATATTGAGTATTACACTTTTAATAGTTCTTTCCTTTCTTAAAATGTGTATACTTTTTTTTGGCACCCTCTGTATGTATGGTAGTCATCCCTAATCTGCGGGGGATAAATTCCAAGGCCTCCAGTGGATGACTGAAACCACAGATAGTTCCAAACTCTAGCCAAAGAACACCAAGATCAACTTTTTCACTTAAAGGAGGCACTTTATGGCTTCTCTTTGGTATATCCAATTGCCAGCATCAAACTCTTGCACCTTGGAGTCATTATTAAGTAAAGCAAGGATTACTTGAACACAAACACTGTGATGCCACTTTGATCTAATAACTGAAATGACTACTAAGTGACTACAGGGGGTAATGTATGCTCTGTATGGATATCCAGACAAAGTCCTAGGTGGGACAGCGTGAGATTTCATCACACTACTCAGAATAGAGCACAATTTAAAACTTATGAATTATTT